GCATGGGCCACGAAGTTTCAATCGCACTGTACGTGCGCGCCCGCACGTGGTATTTTGTGGAAGAGCCACACTCAAGGGGCCAAAGAGCCGCATGTGGCTCACGAGCCGCAGTTTGCCGACCACTGGAGGTGAAAGGTAACTTTGGTAGTTGTAGGATTGGGGCCAATTCTATAACTTTGGGGGTAATTTATTCATTTTAATCATGCTACTTGAACCCCCAACAGAACAATCATATTAGAAAAGTTATGATATATTATCTTTTTGGGAGTATGTTTTTGCTCAGTGCTTGTTTGCATCAGTGGCTGGCACTGTCTCCTAGTTATGATATCATAGGTTTTAGTAAACCAGCTTGTAGTGAGCTGGCCCTGAGGGAAGCTGGTGTTCAAGTTATTTTCCACTCTCATTTTTTTCTGGCAGTTGGAAGAAACTTCCCCATATCTGGCAAGTGAATATTCTCATGTTGGTGGAAAAGAGCCTGGTGTACCAGAGAGAGCATTGGACTTGGAACCAGAAGACCTGGGTTTGGGGTGGTGGCTGGTAGGCAGCTGGCTGAATGACCTGAGGCTGCTGCTACGCCTGGGCACACAGATTTTGTAAGTATATATTGGTCCAGATTGGTGTCTTCACCTCATTATTTAGATTTTATCTGGAACTTTTAAGATCCTATCACCATAACTGATAGGTTCAGTTATATAAAGTTGAGAACTTTATAAAGTCTTTTTTAAAAAAAAAAATATTTTTATTGATTTTAAAGAGGAAGGAAGAGGGAGAGAGAGAGAGAGAAACATCCATGATGAGAGAGAATCATAGATCAGCTGCCTCCTGCAAGTCCCCCACTGGGGATCGAGCCCACAACCTGGGCATGTGCCCTTGACCGGAATCGAAACTGGGACTTTCAGTTCCCAGGCTGACGCTCTATCCACTGAGCCAAACCGGCTAGGGCTAAAGTCTTTCTTTTAAAGTTGTAAAACCATAGATATAGGTAATATGATAGCTCTCCCTCCAACCCCACTTTCCAGAGGTAACCACTATTAAAGGTAAGCCCATACGGTTTTTTTGGGGTGTTCTACATTAGTTTTTATTTTGTACTTGTTTTTCTAATGTCATTTCCCCCCCTAACTTTCAAATCAGTTCAAATAGAGCTCCCTCATTCATTTTTTTAAAGGGATAAAACAGTAAATAAAAGCGAGGTGGGGAGGTGTAGGAGGAGGAAAAAAATAACAGAAGGACGCAGAAGAAGCCCAATAAGGAAAGGAGGTAGTAGTCTTTCCTGGCTCTCATCCTACAGGACTCATAATTAAGTCACAAAACATCCAGATCCTGCCCAGCCAGAGTGGCTCAGTGGTTGAATGTGGTCGACCTGTGAACCAAGAGGTCACAGTTCAATTCAGGGCACATACTTGGCTTGCAGGCTCCATCCCCAGTAGGGGATGTGCAGGGGGCAGCCAATCAATCTCATCATTGATGTTTCTACCTCTCTTCTCCCTCTCTGAAGTGAATAAAAATAACTTTTTTAAAAAAACCCCACAAAAACATCCAGATCCTAAAAGCATAGGACTCACCCCTTGAAAACCTACCTTGAAAAGTTTCTTGAAGAAAAGTATAGAGTTTCTGTGGTTTTTGCCCCTCTTTGGGTTGCAAGTAAATATGTTTTGCTTCCCCCTTTACTTTTTTTATGGCCTTCTCTATCTTGAATATTTTCTGCGTCAGCAAGTCCTTTTGGTTTAGTGTTTGAATCTAGATCAAAACAAATAATATTGGGAAAAAACAACCACTAGGCTACAAATCATCAAAAAGCATTAGTGAAGTAACTTACTGCTCATGCTTGTTAGTATTAGGTGGTACATAAATACCAGAGAGCATTGTTCTCTTGTGATATTGGTGGGACATTTTTACATTTGTTAATGAAAAATTAACTTTAGCTTTTTGGGCATGATGAAAGCAATCTGCTACGAAATGTTTGCTTGGTGTAAGGTTGGTTTTGTGAATTATATATGAAGAAAGAATCTTTTACATTTTTAAAGTCCTTTTCACTCTATTTCTTCCACTCCTCTAACAGCTTTGAAAAATTAGAACCACCTATTCAGCTAGAGTGTTCTTTTGGTGACAGAGCCCAGATCAGGAAAGTTTAGAAGGAAAAAGAAAACATAGGAGGCCAGCTCCAGTCCCTCATTCCTTCATTATACCTATCTAGGGGGGCGGAAAAAAAGAACTTTGGTTTAGGGATGGTGAGGAGAAAATAGGAAAGGAAGGAAACTATTTTAGAAACAACAACAAACCCTGATTTTGAGAACTACTTAATAGAACTAATAGGATTTTGGTTTTGTCTTTTTACTAAGAGGATTTTATAATCCTATTTTGCACAGATGTTTTGTGTCTTCAAATGATGTGGTATCTGTCCTAACTGGTTTGGCTCAGTGGATAGAGCGTCAGCCTGCGGACAAAAGGTCCCAGGTTCAATTCCGGTGAAGGGCATGTACCTTGGTTGTGGGCACATCCCCAGTAGGAGGTGTGCAGGAGACAGCTGATCGATGTTTCTCTCTCATCGATGTTTCTAACTCTCTATCCCTCTCCCTTCCTCTCTGTAAAAAAACAATAAAATATATTTTTAAAAAAACTTATATAAAAAAAATGATGTGGTATCTGTCTAGGATTGTAGAAAGTACTTCCGTGATGGGGGAAAATGGTGTGTACACATGCTTTAGGGGCAAAAAGGGTTTGAAGAATTCTTGCAAGCCCTGAATTTTCCCTTGAAAACACAGCTTGTATTTGTCTACCTTGTTCTTGACCTCCTGAAGCATTTCTTGGTTTCCTTCACGTTCTATATTGAGTATCTTCATTGCCTGGTGAATTTCCCTGAAAAATAAGAAGACTTCTTAGATTGTTTCTATCCTTTAAAAAAGCATGGGGGTGGAAAATACAGGACTTGGAATCAGTCAAGAATCCTAAATTCCAAGCCTAACTATGCACTTTTGCTGTGCCTTATCCTCAAGTGGTATGATGTTTAACTTTTAAGGATGTTACTTAGTTTTTGAGATGATATATTTGAAGGTACTAATAAATGCCATTTATTGAATGTCTTTATGACAGGTAGTGAACATTAATCACCACAAACCCATAAAATGGACTATCGTCTGCATTTGATATATGAAGAGGAAAAAAGGGGCTCTGAGCGTTTAATTAATTTACTTGGACTCACATAGCTAGTGTAGGCATGAGTTGGCATTCAAACCTAGACTTTTACTTTAAAGCCTGTTGTCACAGTCGGCACTTTTGATACATGTTAATTGAATAAATTAATAACTTAAAACACCTGGGATAGAGAATAGGTGCGTGAACTATATGAGCTTGACTTTCAATCTAACGTAAATTCGTTTTTCTGTTACCCATTTTGGTAAGTAGGTGAATGGCACAGGTGAGCACATGCTTTTACAGCCATTAGGCAGCCACAAGGCTGTATTCTGTTAACAAGGACGGGCAGTACACGGGGTAGGGGAAGGAACCAGAGGTTTAGTGCTTACTTTAGAACAGCATCATGTTTTTCTAGGAGCAGCACGTCTAGGAAGGTGTTCCTGACCCGGTCCCCTTGAAGGTTGAGGGCAAGGATGCTACGGCAAGCTTCTAGACGTACACCTGGTGACGCTTCATAGTGTATAGCCCAGAGCAGGAGGTCTGTCAGCGGGGGACTCACTTGGCCAATCTGTCCCAAAGCTGCAGAGATCAGAGGGCAGCGTCTTCCACTGTCACTTAAGACTAATCTGGCTATATCCTAACATCCAGAAATGGTCTTACTAATGTATAGGCAGCCACTAAGTATTTGTTTTGTTTATTTCTTCTCTTTTGGATGATAATCACCATTAGAATTTCAGAGATGAGTTTGAGTAGAACATTATCGCCAAAGGATTCCTAGGAGGGGTGTTCTATCCCATCCTTGCCCATTAGGATATGAGAATACCTATCGTAAATAGGTAAATGTAGGGATGAGATATGTGACTCATAACTCAGAAAACTAGCCTAGTCAAGGCAGAGTGATGCTATGGCAAGCTTTAGTCGTACACCTGGTGACACTTCATGGAGTCTAGCCCATAACAGGTCTGTCAGCTGGGCCAATCTGTGAAGAAAGGGGGCACAATAACTTCACAGGTTTACCTAGGGCCGATTCTGCTAGGGACCTGCCAAAGACTCAAGCAACGTAGAAGATCCTTAAAAAGAAACTAGGAAATGTTGAGGGCAGGGTTTTAGGTCTGTAGCAGTCTTGAATGTGGTCTCACTTGTAGAGAGTCCTATAGTTGAAATCTCCAGAGAAAGCAAGTGTATCCAACAGTGTTTTCCAAGTGGATTCCTACTTGGAACTAATTAAATTGTCAGGGACTGTCGGCCCCTTTGCCTTAACAAGTTTGACATTGACCTAGACTCAGGATCCTTAACTAAAAATTTAAAAGCAAAAAATAATCGAATTTCTCAGGCAAGGAACTTCTGAGCAGGTGTGATCATCTCCCCTACACTCCACCCCTTACTAGAGAAATTCTGGGGGTCATTTGTACTAGCTTATGGAAAAGATATTTGAGGTTGAGGAGCTGGGGCCATTTTCTCTGTCATACCTCGAAGGGCAAAGGCCTTGATTTTCCAGTAAGGATCTTTCTGTATCAGATTCCGGAGGCATTCAAAAACCTGGGATAAGAAAGAAAGAAAACACCTGGGATGGATAAAAGGCAATGTTGAGTGGAGAAGACCAGAGCAAAAATGAACGAGAGGAAGGGACCCCTCTTGTCTGAAAAATGACATATCCTAGTGACAAATGAGCTGGAGTCTGAAGTATTACCCTGCACACATAATATATTAGCTGAATTATCTCATATC